ATAACATATTTTATATATGTGAGTGTATATACGACATTGTAATAGTAGCTTCTGTATGTACTGATAATGGCCTATGACACTGTACTAGTAGTTTCCATATGTATTGATAATGTCCTTCTGAAGATGGTCGCTCTGACCGAAACATGTAAAGGAAGATAAAAATAAAACATTTATCAATCACTCTGGACAGTGTTAATAATCTTTTACACTATTGTTAACACTCAATGAAAATGATTTGTTTTGAAAAAGTTAAATAGTTCCGTCCATGAAAATTATTTATGACATCAAAATTCATTATTGTGTTCATGGCATACAAGAGAATGGTGTGTTCGTCCATGATATGTGTGCCATGTCCATCTTGTAGTGCACTCAATTTCACCTGTTATTTCACAGTGCCATCATCAGGTGCTCCATTTACGTTAATCTATTGCATTGCTTGCCATTATGTCATTGTAAAATGGCAAGCAATGCAATAGATTAACATAAATGGAGCACCTGATGATGGCACTATGTTGCCGAAACATGTTGTAAAATTGGGTGCACTACAAGACGGACACGGCACACATATCATGGATGAAAATCAGTGCAACAGGACGCTAAAATACAACATTATGAATGGTGTGTTGTTAATACTGAGCTTCAGCTGGGGCCAGAGAAAATGAGAGCCTAATGCATAGTGATTTCATTTTGTTGTATAAAAATGAGTCATTGCCTTGAAATGTAAATAGAAATTATATTCTAAATTTGCAGTGTGTTACATATGCAATCCAAATTTGGATCTTGATTTTTTGGCTGTGGCAGGGAGTGACAGGTTTCCACAATGGGTTCATGGGTCATTTCCCCCTCTCCCCATTGTGGTTATATGCTGTTCCACCAGCCCTAATTACTTGCACTATGTTGTATCGATCTATGGCTCTACAGTGCTTTCTTGAACCTGGGCCACATTTAATGTTTCTTGATCCATTTACACAGTAGGTAGGACTCCTTGGACGGGGGATCGCCTAACGCAAAATACTTGACAAAAATTTGCGATATTTACACCAAGTACTGCCAATCTTCACATGTTTGCACATCCAGTGGGTTGAAAATGGTTAGAATGATGCAACATGTGTTACAGTTACGTTCCAGGCTGTGGAGTTAGGGCAAGGGCACACCAAGGAAACTGGCAACTGCAACACAACCAAATTTTCCGAGAATTATTATCAGCCTGAGTTGAACACTTGTTATTGAATGGAGCAGCGCACATTGAGGAAATGGCAATGAAACTTGCGGAAAGACTGAGAAACTCAACTTCCAGGCAATGAAGCATGCCAGTCTCTCTGACAATTGTGTTGCCGTATGGTTTCCTAGTGTCAGCTGTTCTATAACGCACTTCAATAATTTCATTTGTTTCTTTTGATAGCATGAAAGGTTGACGAAGCTGCTAATTTGTTTTTGTGCAGTTAATTGAGTAAGAGCCTGGTATATATGACAAGCAACACCTAAACTATGCTAGGTAGAGTAAAATAGATTTGGCTGTGGAAAGAATTTCTTATGAGACGGAGTCTGGATCCAGGTTGTTCTTTTGAAACAATATAAGTGCCTACGTTTAAATTATAATAGAAGAACGGATGCACCCAATGTTTTCTTTTCCTAATATTGTATTTAAGCATTCTGTTGCATTAATATATCATTTATTACACATATATTTCCATCTTAAATACAGCTTATTATATAGTCACGCTTCTTCCACATTACATGGTTCGGCTATATACGGCCATCGTCAAGTGTCTTCTATCTTGCTAAAATTGTTTCATTGTATTTCAAAATTTTGTATCGTGTGAACGTGATATTTCGCTATTATAATAAATTGACCTTAATTAAAACAAATGAATTAACATTCCAATATATTCCTCATGGTCGTCGTCTTCCACCCTGCCTCAACCAGTCTGAACTAGCACCATATTATGACAGGATCAGTATTATCTTGAACTGCAGAAGGTAAGTGCATAAAATTGAAACATACAACCGTGCATTGCGTTGGACGGATGTACCCACTTGTGGTGATGTGAGCAACTAATCAAACGTAAGTTTCCTCAGTTTGCACCTGCTAATCTGGAAACCAGTTGCCTGCTTGAAATCAGCGATTTTTCTTGGAAATTGCAGTCGTGTTTTGGTTGCCAGTTTCCGTGGTGTGTCCTTGACCTTAGTTGACTTGTTATATTAGGTGTCAGCATGTAGTGCCTTTGGTACATTACTCGGTAGGAAGAACTGCAATGGGGAACCTGTCCACCCAAGAAAGACTTGGTTCATTTGTTTATGATGTGTGCTATGGAAAACAAAACTGGTGATGTGCACATTTTTTAGGTTTGAGACTGCTTATAGCACTTCTCTGCATGAATCTTAATAGTCCTTAGGAACTCTAGGTTGTCCTATAAGGACTGCTGCAGCGAAACAAAAGATGCTAGGTCACAACTTGACTGGCAGTGACAGTGATCTTGGTGTGGGATGTTAATGGGTGACCATTTATAAAACGAGAGGCATTGGCAGGGAGGAACAGAGTTATACCTCATAAAACATATGGTTTGGAATGGGCAGAGGGGGGGGGGGGAACAAGGGTTTTTTCCATTTTAGCAGCATGACAAACGTTTACATTTAAACATTTACTCTTGCCAAGGCAACTTCCACACTTGCCAGGATAGGTCAGTAGATGGCCAGAGTTCAGTTCCCAGTGCAGTGGGTGTTG